CCCCGTGATCTCTCAGGAAACACGGAGGAAGAAATAGTACTCCTGCTTACCAGCTGACAGTGCCAGTCCCAGAGCCAAAATCCAGCAGCGTGGAAGGCTGGAAGTCGGGAACTCGTTTCTCGATCTGACATAAAAGGAAAAATTGCTCTGTAAATGCTGGCCTACCTTACAAGATGGTTGTTATGACAGCTGAGAATGTGAAACGGTCAAACATTTCAGACCGCCTCCTATGGTTGCCACTTGGTTAAACTGTAGGGGTTGGATTCAGACTAGATTTCCACACGTTAACCCTTCCTACTGCAGATTCCCCCTCCCCTTTTATGTTGTGCCCCAGGGTCCTGCATCCCTCCCCCCCACCACCCAAACAGCATTTCGTGGAGATCAGTGGGCAGGGCTGGGTCAGAAGAGGCAGTAAAATTCCAGTTTGCTGATGGGGGAAATCTTGTCTGAGTCCAACCCTAGTGGAAGAACCAGCTGCACTTGAACCTGCATAAAATCAGAATACCTGATAAATACCTCCTCTTTATTTTTAACGACGACACAGTCTAGTTTTACTTCCTGAACCTTAGTTCTCTCAGTGGGCCATCAGTACAATAAAATACATGTTATACTTTTGTACAGCTTTTCAGACAAAACTAGCTCCTAAAGAAACTATGGTGCTGGAGAAGACTCTTGAGAGTCCCTTGGACTGCAAGGAGATCAAATCAGTCAATCCTAAAAGAAATCAACCCTGACTGTTCCCTGGAAGGCCAGATAATGAAACTGAAGCTCAAATACTTTGGCCACCCAATGAGAAGGGAGCCCTCACTGGAGAAGACCCTGATGCTGGGAAAGATTGAAGGTCAAAGAAGACGGGGGCGGCAAAGGATGAGATGGTTAGACAGTGTCATCGATGCAACGAACATGAAGTTGAGCAAACTCCGGAGCACGACGGAAGACAGGAGGGCCTGGCGGGATCTGGTCCATGGGGTCGCAAAGAGTCGGACTCGACTGTGCGACTGAACAACAACAACAAAGAAACCAGCAGGATTCAGGACAGCTGAACGCCCACGTTCCTTTGGGAGGGGGTTCTTGGGGGCAGTGGGGCTCAGGCATTAGGGAGGGGGGGACAGTTGGCTGGAGCTGGATGCAGCCATGACAGAGGAGCGATATCTACTTTTACACTGAGGAAGCCGAGGCCCAGAGGGTTAGTGACTTCTAAGATCAAAGATAGTCCGACTTTCAGCTGTCGTACAAGCCCAGAAACCCTGTGTCTAAATGCCACACTAGCCACCCTTCTGAGCGCACACTTCCATGCATTTAAGAAGAAGAAGAAGAAGAAGAAGAAGAGATTGGATTTATACCCGGCCCATCACTTGGAGTCTCAGAGCGGCATTACGAACTCCTTTCCCTTCCCCTCCCCACAATAGACACCCAGTGAGGTAGGTGGGGCTGAGAGAACTCTTGACAGAAACTGCTCTTTTTCAAGAACAGCTGTGCCAGAGTTACGGCTTGCCAAAGGTCATCCAGCCAGGTGCAAGTGGAGGAGTGGGGAATCAAACCCGGTTCTCCCAGATTAGAGTCCACGCACTTAACCACTACACCCTGTGTACATAAGACAGCACTGAAATAATAGCAAAAGGAGGCAGATACATCCTACTGTTGTTGTTATTAGCCATTCAGTCGTGTTCGACTCTTGGTGATTCTGTGGGCCAGCTCTCTCCACGTTTTCTGACCTTGTCCTGTTTCTTTGAGTCGTTCCATGCTCAGGCTGGTGTCGACTTGTATGGTGTCCAGTCACCGTGTTCTTTGGCGGCCTGGTTTCCTTTTGCCGCTAACCAATCCAAGCAGAACCGCTTTTTCTAGTGAGTTCTGCGTGACGTGGCCAAAATAAGTCAGTCGTAGTTTTGTGATTTTTCCTTCCAATGGCATGTCCGGTTTTACACGCTCCATCCTACTACCCTTTGAATTAGGGCTGCTTAAAAAAGGGTTCCTAATCCACCGACGCCTCCAAAAGCTGAAGCAGCAACTCACCTCGTGGAAAGCTCGGGACACAGCTGCATACATCCCATCCATCCGGGCTGCCATATACAAAAAGCTGAGCTGTTCGGTGTAACTAGGGAGGAGGAAAAAAAGACACAGCTAGTCAAGGAGGGGGCCGTGGTGGCGCAGAGGTTAAGGCGCTGAGCTGCAGACCGGAAGGTCTGTCATTCGGCAGTTCGAGACCTGAGTGCCATGTGACAGAGTAAGCTCCTGTCTGTTGCCCCAGCTCCTGCCGACCTAGCAGTTCGAAAGCAAGAAATTGCAAGTAGATAAATAGGTACCGCTTCGGTGGGAAGGTAACTGTGTTCTGTGCACCTTGGCGTCTAGTCATGCCGGCCACATGACCATGGAAACGTCTTCGGACAGTGCTGGTTCTTTGGCTTGGAAATGGAGATGAGCATCGCCCCCTAGAGTCGGATTCGACGTGCCTTCGAGCAAGAAAAACCTTTACCTTTACTAGTCAAGAAGGGGGGACTTTTCCCCTTACACTGTCCTACTGACAGGGCCTGGAAAGCATGACAAAGAGAGGGGAAGCCAAGAAGCTGCTCCTGGAGGACTGAGTAAAAGGTGCACCACAAGCATTGTGTGCTCCAGCTGTAACTCTCCATTATGGGGGCGGGGAAACCAACCTCAAGTGTATCAGTAACTTATTTGGCAAACTGATATAACCTTCCAGCAATCTCAGTTTGACATGTTTCTAGTCCCCAAGGTTGCTTCCCCCCAAAAAGGTCAACAGGCAAAAAATACAGGAAACCTCATACACCTGGTGATGGCTAAAATAGCGGTGACCAGAGGTCATTTCGGGGGGGATCGCAGGGGATGGCAGTTCCCCCGGGTGAGGTACGGGGGGGCGGGGCACATGACAAAGCCCCGCCCCCTGCTTCCGGCCCTCATTCAGCCAGGAGGCAGGAGAAGAGGGAGGGTAAGTTGCCTCCTCCCTGCCTCTCCCCACCCCTGCCAGCCTGGGGGGGCGGGGTGTGTGGCCTTATGACACACTTCCGGTGATGTCAGGGGATGTGGCCTTATGACACACCTCCGGTGATATCAGGGGGTGTGGCATATGCTAATGAGTTATGCTAATGAGTTCCCCTAGCTCTTTTTCTACGAAACGACCCCTGGCGGTGACTGCGCAAATACAAAATCTGTGTTTGATTATTCTAAGCTCAATCTTGCATATATTCTGTTGGAATAAAACCACCCTTTCCTTTATACGCAAGCATGGAGGACAACGAGGAGTGGCGGGATATAAATGTTTTAATAAATAAATAACAAAAAACTGAAAGAGGGCAGGACTTTTTTTTGTAAAAGGAAGCTTTTTAAAAGGCTACCTTCCATTCAGTGTCCTGTAGAACAACGGCACCAGGAATTTACATGACAGTTTCAGTGTTCACAGTATTGCAGGACATTATCACAACAGCCTTGTAAGGTAGGCTAGCACGATCCCTGTACTGCACAGTCGGGGCGGGGCAGAAAAGAGGGAGAGAGCGGCCTGCCTTGTGTCTCACAACCAGTTCATAGCAGAAGCGAGGGCTGAACCAGAGACGCCCCAGGATCCCGGCCATTTTCTTAGCCCCAACGTCATAACAGGGGCATGTTCTATTTGGCCCAAATCTTCTCCAGGAATCAAGCCCGTGAGTTCTGGAAGGGCTGCCATGGATACTCACTTAAGCGCCACCCAGTGGTAAGTCGTCTTACGGAGAGTGGTGAGGACTTCTTTTGCCATTTTTTTCTCTTTTGCCTGATCCAGTTCACTCAAGAGATCTAATGGAGAGAGAGAGAGAGAGAGAGAGAGAGAGAGAGAGAGAGAGAGAATTCTATATGCCACTCTTATCCCACTACATGACGTTAGTGTCAGGGTGACTAGTGATTAAAGTGACACATATCCCCCCCTCCCCCGCCCGGACCTTCCACTTACCACAACCCACAGCCAAGAGTTCACCAACTACAGATGCCTTTGGCAATCATGCCAATGCCCCCTCTAAGCTGTGGAGTCCTGTGAGCAAAAATTCTCCTTCGTGAGCTGCTGGCATTAAAGTCATGAGGGACCGATTTGGCTACTGCATAACTTAGTTTGCTCTGGAGCCGTCCCTTCCTGAGCCGAGACAAATATGTGTGAGCCGGAGGAGGCTAAAAAACCTATGAGCTAGCTCACACTCACTCAGCTTCGAAGGAACACCTGACTCATACCATTGTTTGGGGTCATCAAGCTGCCCCTTCCTCTGGCTGGTGGGAGAGTGATGGGGAGGAGCACACACGGACTCGCAATCCGGACCATGCAGCAGCACAAGCCAGGAGAGAAAGCCTTCCTTTCCCCTGGTCCATTCAAAGGGCCGGATCCTTCCCTCCCCTTGCCCTGGACTAGAAGTTCTAGCTCACCATTTCTGAGTCTATTCCTCATTTATAAGAGCCTCCCAGTTGGGTGAAAGCTTCGAGAATGACCCTGTCCTTCCAGAAAGTTCACTTCAAATGTACTCCACAAATCCAGAAGACCACAACTTACGTGGACCCTGCTGAGTGCTCCTAGGACTTTCCCCCGGACTCTTCATTCAAATCACTACCCCGCCCCATCAGCTCTAAACCCTCACTCACCTTTTGGAGGGCCCACCTCCCCTCGCAGCTTTTGCTCCAAGTATTGGGCCTTCCTGAGCAACTCTGTTTCCTCGATGGGACGCTTGCGGCTCCACAAGTAATTGGTGAGGGCCTTGACCTGTTCTTTTACATTGCGCATGGATGAGTCTGCGGGAAGGGAGACGTGTTAAGAAAGCTCCACAGCACCCCTCTTCGGTGGTCTAAAGTACTTCCGGCTCTAAAGCGTCGTGCCAAAGACCAAGCGAAGGAGGACGGGTCTCTGCTCCAAGGAGCTGACAATGTCGATTTGTGAAAAACACAAAATGCTCCACATCTCACAACAGCACTGCAGGTAAGATCAGAGTTTCAACAGTCAAGCCATATGCAAAAGAACCTCCACAGGAAAGCTCCTCCATTAGCATGCAAAAGCCTGGGGAACTCCTACAAGGTAATGACTCAGCCCTACCCCACCTTCCTGAGTAGCTATAAATTACCCACCTACCATTCTTCTTTTCACATGGACACAGAGAGTACGCCATCTTTCTGTGTTATATCTCTGAGGATTCCAGTCACAGCTGCTGGCAAAACGTCAGGTACTACAATGCCAAGACCACGGCCATACAGCCCCGAAGAACCCACAAGTACTAATGTCAATTTCGATAGAACGAGAGACGGAACAGAAAGAGGGGAAGTCAAGAGGGGACGAATACGTGCACACTGTGACCTGCCACTTGTCTCCCCCCTTCTCACAACCAGAGGCGGAAGGGGACACAGAAGAAGGCTTCTTTCCTTGACCTCGTTGAATAAATATACGTTACGTTAACTGGCATTATGTGTCTGTCTGTCAAGGCTAGAGATGTAAAATTTCC